CTGTCTCTTGTAGCAGTCTGGCAGCTTCACCTGCTCCATGTTGTCATTATTTCAAAGCAATTTCAAAGTAGGCAAGTGGGGGATGGGAACTTCTTCTGGGAGGGTTTTGATCCATTCGGACAAGGCAGATTGTACAATCTTGATCAAGTTTAACTTACAGATAACTTCACTCGATCTTTCAATTGTACTTTTCTGCCTCGTACTCTGGATCAAACACGTAGATGTTTAAAGTACCTTTCGTAGTTTGCAGTTTTGTTTCATGCGAAAGGATTATAAAAGACGTAAGAACACTGGTTCTGATGTAATTTTATGTGAATATATTAAACTACGGTACATAGATTCACATAAAATAAAAATTTGGTTTTTAAAACGATATAATCACATTTATTCTTCTATACATCACGTGACATTACAGTCAAGTGTATTTGTGAGACACTCAATACTGTAATTAATAAGCTGATCAATAAAAAAAAAATCCCAGTGGCCCACGCCGCATGGATACGGCACCACCATTAAGAACCATCTTAAGTGCTACACATTATATTAAGAAATATATGTAAATATATGGCATTTTCGCTCTTTATTCATAGTATTAATATATTTACTATACATAAACACATGTAGATGTAATCGATATAAGTACGCATTTGCCTATTGTTAATGTTATTTCTAATCAATAATCTTATTTCTCTCATTATTTTTAGTAAAATTTTNTAATACAATGACAATAATTAATCGTTGTAAAGAATTATAAACAAATGTTAACTAGTGCAAGTTAAGTAGCTTAAATGATATATTATGAGGTAAATAAAATTTTAACTGCATTAGTACGTGGCTGTGACAAACTCATAAGACTTTATTTGATCACGAATTATAAATATATCCTAATCTTCATGTAACAATAATAATAAAACTCATTATAAAACAGTTAGTTGCAGTACAAAATAATGTTGCAAAATTTTTAACTTTATAAAAAATCTCTATGAATCTTATTTGTGAAATGTGATTTCTTGACTGCAAATAATTTATAAAAACAATTATTCTTCGTAAACATAGAACTATTGAACTCATATTGTAATTATTTAAGGTGGTTCTTCAAGTAACTCCTTAACTTTAACTTTTAAACAAAACTTGGAGAGATCATTATTGAAGATTTTAGGCATCTCCTCTTTAAACATTACTCTACTTGGCCCTGTAAATTTTTGTAAACAAGTGAATTATTCAGTGTATCTTCGACATGAACTCTTATGGAAGTTACTTTACCGTTCTTTAATAAAATGCAATATTGTGAAAAGTTGACTAAATATTAAAAATAAAAAAAAATTGTAGTAGTAGAAGAACTTTTAAACATAGAAACTTTTAATGGCAAAAGGAAAGTTGTGGCTTATAATGAAAATATTATATAAAATTAAATTATAAAAGTAATGATTTTGCGATAGGCGAAAGTGAGATATCTGCTGTGTAAATAAGTAGATGCTTGGTATGTACGAGCTGATTTCAAATGATACACTTACCGATATGGTAAGCATATCAACAAGTATATTAGTGAAATAGTTTTATAATTAATGTTTTTGATAGTGTGTAGGGTAATGACAACAAAACTTGTATCAATAACAAATTCTAAGTCCTTTTATAATCCTTTGTAAATAATAACAGACAAAAATTTTTTTTTACAAGATTTCTTTTTATTCTTCAACTTGTGTAGTAGATAGGACACTCAAGTTAAATTACTATTGTACGATTCCAGCTAGTTAAATATTTTAATTACTAACAACAATAACAAAGATTACAAGGCTAGATAGACAATGTGACAATGTGACGAGCAAAGATTCATAGCAGTATATATATAGAGGTACATGCACTATTCAGTTATGTTTGCTCAAGTAGAGATATATACGTCATTTTCATTACTTTGCACAGAATAAAAATTTGATTTTTAAAACGATATAATCACACTTATTCTTCTATACATCACGTGACATTACAGTTAAGTGCATTTGTGAGACACTCAATACTGTAATTAATAAGCTGATCAATAAAAAAAAAACCCCAGTGGCCCACGCCGCATGGATACGGCACCACCGTTAAGAACCATCTTAAGTGCTACATATTATATTAAGAAATATATGTATCCTGTACTTCTATGACAAAGTCTAATAATATAAATATGTATTAAGCATAATATCTCTTTTCTTAGTTGATTATTTGAATAAGTTATAACTGAAAGATCGAGTGAACTTACCTGTAAGTAAAACTCGATCAAGATTGCACGATTTGCCTCGTCCGAATAGATCAAACACGTAGTATCACTTATCCAGTTAAATCAATGCTAAAATACCACAAGATATTTTAAGACTTTTAGGTTTTTGGCACTTCCTGCGGGTGGCGATGCTGTGTAACTGTCTCTTGTAGCAGTCTGGCAGCTTCACCTGCTCCATGTTGTCATTATTTCAAAGCAATTTCAAAGTAGGCAAGTGGGGGATGGGAACTTCTTCTGGGAGGGTTTTGATCTATTCGGACGAGGCAGATCGCACAATCTTGATCAAGTTTAACTTACAGATAACTTCACTCGATCTTTCAATTGTACTTTTCTGCCTCGTACTCTGGATCAAACACGTATATGTTTAAAGTACCTTTCGTAGTTTGCAGTTTTGTTTCATGCGAAAGGATGGTAAAAGACGTAAGAACACTGGTTCTGATGTAATTTTATGTGAATATATTAAACTACGGTACATAGATTTTTACATTGCAACGGATTCATATGCGAAGCTTTGCGCTGGTTAAAATATTTTCTTATGATTACATGCCCGAAGTGTTTTTCTTGAAATAGAAGCCTGTTGTAGAATATAGCGAAGGTAGACGAAGAACTTGACCAGCCTGCCGTTCTCTTGATGAGTTCGATACGTGAAGTTGGCGCGTGGCGAGTACTGTGCGCCGTAAATGTTTTCGTGTCAATCCAGCTTTCTTCCTTAGTGTCTTTGATCCAGCGGCTAATGGACTGGGTAGTAGCAGCGTGATGAGGTTTTTTAAAGGTCAGGAAGAGTTTTTCTTCTCCCACAGGCCGAAGAGCTTGTGTGCGATGTAGGTATTCTTGAATACATTTTACAGGGCACAGCACTTCTTGATCAGGGAAAGCTGGTATTTCCATGACAGCTGCTTGGTTCTTGATAGTGATTGTCTTTAACCTATCGGTGATTGTTATCTTAAGAGATTCCTCTGACACTGAAATGTTGGGGATTCTTATAACCGAGATTGTTTGCACCCTTTGGGCTGTTTATAGCGCTAAAAGGGTTGCTAGCTTTTTTGTTAGCTTTTCAAGATTAATACTACTTGCCGGACTTCAAGTTCTCAGTAAGTCTAGAACTGTCTCTGGGTTTCATGTTCCTGCGTATTTTGCCTTCCTTGGTCTCTGGTTTCCCACGCCTTTGAAGAATCGACTTATCATTTTTTCTCCGGAGGTAGGCGGCGTGACTTCTCATCTGCGTCACAATTGTTCTTGGTATTTATGTAGGACGCGAAATTATGGATTTTCCTAGATTTACACCACTGCCAGATTTCCCGTGCTACCTTGTTGAGCTTGGGTCGTTGGATGCTCCCCGTGCGGTTGATGTATGAAATCGCGGTAGTATTGTCGATCGGGAGTAGGATCTCGCAGTTGTTGTGTTGTGAAGTAAAACACTTAAGTCCGTTGAAAGCCACCTTCAGTTCGAGCAGGTTGATGTGTTGTTTTCCATCCAATCACCATCCATGAGCTTTTTGCCCTTTGCAAAATGTGCCCCAACCCATGAGAAAGGCGTCAGTGAAAATTTTCAGGGAGTTGTTATTTACGCGTATTCTGTTTTTGGCGTTGCTATATTGCGTTTTTTCGCATCCAGGTACAAACAATAGTTTTCTGAATCGATTATCAACCCGAGATAAGGGCACTGTTTCAATGGCACGACGATGTTTCTTCCCCAATTAATCACAAGGCCCAGGGATTTTATTAGTTCCGTTATTTGCTTTACGTTTTTGCGCATTCGTTTTTATCCTGTCCTATTATTAGGATATCCTCAATAAAAATTACTGATGAAAACCCCTTTATCCGTAGTTCGTGGATCACGGGCTTCATTAGTTTGGTAAACGCGTAGGGTGCGGTAGATAAACCGAAAGGTAGTACGTTGAACTCGTACATTTGTGTTCCAAAAATTAACCGTAGGAATTTTATCGCGTGCAAAGGATGGGACACACAAAGGCGTTGAAATAAAAATAAAGAATTTATATTTGTAGAAATAAAGAAGACAAAAAAACTTTAATTGTTAAGAGCCAAGTACATGCGTTCGCCGAAGTGGTCGAACGCATACTAGCGAGCATAAGCTCTCGGACAAGTATGTCACAATTTATGTTACATGAGGGCGCTACAATCTCAAACTTAATAGCGCGAATTATTTTAAATTAAGAATTACAAATCAGATTAAACCAACAAAAAATACGTTAAATAAGAAAAATAAAAGAACATAATCTTCCACATCCTCCCACCTTGAGTAATTTAGAAATCAGTCCTCAAATTACTCAACCGAATCTAACAAAATCTCTTGGGTACTTGAATAGTTCTTCCGCAGCAAGTAGTCCTTTTAGACCTGATGCCTCTTGAATTCGTAGAATCCCTCTCTCGGTCGTGAGCTTCCTCGCGGGTAGGTTCCTCACGCGTAGAATCTTTGCTTAAGTATGTTTCCTCCTGCTCCAGACAAGTCGAGTTCTTCTTAAGTGAGAAAGAACTTCCTACCTCCTCTGGCACATTAAGGCTTTGAGTAGCCGAGCACTCGAGTGGTTTCAATCGTTGTAAAGGTCGCACAAGATGTCCAGATGCGGCTTTTAATTTGGCAACTCGCACAACACCATCATGACCTGGAATTAAGTCGACTACATGTCCCATGGGCCAGTCTATGCGTTTGTGTACATCGTTTCCGATCAGTACCACGTCTCCTACCTTGACCGTGATATGCGAGTGGCGAGGCCTGTCGTGTCTTTCCAGTTGCCCGAGATATTCTGATCTGAACCGTTGACGAAGCTCGAGTTTCAGTCGTTGTAGATATTTAAGTCGTTTATTTAAAGATATTTGCCCCACCTGATCCAAGTCAGGGACTCCATCTTCGCGTTTTTCTTTTAGAAACATTTCTGGGGTGAGGGCTATTAAATTTTCTTTTTCTTTACTCAGCTGTGCTATAGGTCTTGCGTTGATAGCAGCTTCGCATTCGCGAAGAATGGTACGCATTTCTTCTTCTTTAGCAACGCCTTTCCTAATGTTCTTTTTAACAGATTTTTGAGTAAGCCCACTATTCTCTACCACCATCTACCACACCATGCCGCAGAAGGTGGGATAAAATGCCATTGAATTTTCTTTATTGCACAGAATCGGTGAACCTTATCCCAGTCGACTAACTTTAGTAAGTTGTACGCACCGACAAAACTAGTGCCATTGTCACTTTAGACCACCGACGGACGTCCTCTTCGGGCTATGAACCTTCGGAAAGCCAGGAGAAATCCGACAGTTGACAACTACGACACCAATTCCAGATGGACTGCACGATAAACGGCACAGGTGAACAGACAAGCCCAGCTCTTGCTTCCATCTTTGAGGTAGAGAGTTCCCGCGTAGTCGATTCCCACGACCTCGAAAACATGAGCATCACGTACACGGTTCTCCAGTAGACTTGCTGTTGGCACTGACAATGGTATTCCTGAATGTCTTTGGCATGAAAAACATTTTCAAATCACCGAACAAACCAATTTTCGTCCCGAGATTATCCACACTTTTTCTCTGAGAGCGGACAGCGTTCTGTTGATACTTGCGTGCTTCAACTTTCGATGAACGTACTTGACGAGCTTTTCAGTTAGAGGGTGATCAACATCCAAAACGACAGGGAATCTAAAACTGAAAGTATCCTGTCGATTGGAAATAAGAGTTTTTGTTCTAAAAAGTCTATTTTCTTCCAAATATACGTTCAGTTTAATGAGACGAGGATCCGTCGTTCCTTTGAAAGACTCCTTTTGACTTAACTTAAATGCCATTTGTTCTGCAGAATCAAATTCTCCAGCTGTAATTTGAGTTTTACGACGTTGATTCGTCGATAGTATGGTATTTTTTATAAAGCGAAGAATCCAAGCAATCATAATAATAATCTAATTATAATCTGTATGTTCCAACATATACCAGGGAAACTCCGATGGTTTCAAGGTTATACTCGTACAGGTAACGACAGGTAGGAAAGTTGATCCACTTTTTTCCCCAGATCTGCTGAACTCAGCGTATACATCCGTTTCGTTGACCAAAGACTCTTCTTGAGGCCATAAATGTTTCGGAGATCTCAGCCATTCTGGACCCTCCCACCACTTTGATCATATGAGAAGCTCCACACTGCATCCACGAGAGGGAAGATCTGCTGGATTTAAAATACCTGGTACATGTCTTCATGAATCGATGTTGGTGGACTTTCTTACTTCTTCAACTGTGTTCCACACAAACCTCGACCACTGCCAACCAAGCTTAAGTTATGCCAGAACCACCTTAGAGTCTGACCAATACGTAACTAAAACTGGCTCAAACTCCAGTGACTGCAACACCATTCTAGTTAGTCTTGCACCCAGAACTGTAGCAAGTAACTCCATCCTAGGTATAGTTATTTTTTCCTTTGTGGGTGTAACTCTTGATTTTGTTTGGACTAGGTGCACTGCCACATCCTCTTTCGTCTGTACTCTAGAAAAAATAGTCGCAGCATAAGCAACCTTACTAGCAACCACAAAAACATGTAATGTGACTGAGTCACCAGAATCTCCAAAACACCAACGAGGAACTTTTTAACCTCGTAACAGAGGTAATTGGCTGTACCACCTCTCGAACTTCTCGGAAATATCAGCTGGTACCGGAGAATCCCAATGCAGATCACACTCCCAAAGCTCTTGCAGTAGGAGTTTAGGCTGTAACATGGATGGACACGCCCAACCCATAGGGTCGAAAACCCTGTGGGCAGCCGAAAAGATCTTTTTCTTAGTATACGGTTGATCCAAAACTTCTATAGAATCAACCGCCAGGAAAAGCGTATCCTCTACTCGATCCTACATGATGCCAAGCACCAAGCTCGTCTAAGGCTCACTCAGTTGACCTGTAAAATCCCAGCCTCTGAGTCTAAAACCAGCTTGATCCATGATCTCCACCGTATGTTTTTGGAAACGCAGTGCATCTTCTCTTGTAGGCACGCTGGTGACGCAGTTATTTACGTAGAAGGATCTCTAGAGTCTGGTAACGTCTTTTCCCATTAACGGTGAGCAATGAGATTTCAGCGCTGAATCAAGATGATATTCTATGATGGCCGCAAGCATGAAAGGACTACTATTGATGCCAAAAACAACCCGGCAATGTCGTAGGACCCTCATCAGATCAGCTTTATTTTCATCCCACCATAAAAACCGTAAAACCTCACGGTCGTCGGGTGCGATGCTGATCTGCAGAAAAGCCTTCTCGATATCTGCCACGACGCCTATCTCATTTTCTCTTAACCTGAGCAATACGCTGGGAATGAGCTGTATGAGGTTAGGACCTGTCTCCAGACACTGGTTCAAGGATGGCCCGTTCCCACTACTCGCCAACGCATCGAACACTGGCCTTAAGGGCATTGTACTGTTATCTTTGATAACATGCCGGTGAGGTAAAAAGTAGCCGTCGGCTTTATTCAGTGGTGCCGTCTCGATGATGCCCAATCGGCGCCAGTAGTTCAAAACCTGTTCATGATCCTTGAATCGTCTCTCTGCGAGTAGACGCTTACTAAACCCAGAAAGACGCTTCTCAGCAGCGAGACGGTTACTACTCAAAAAATTACTACTACTTTGGGTAGTTATCTTTCCACAAAAAATTAACCTCGTAGCGTCCTTCGTCATTTATCTTAATAGTGTCCACAAAACGTTTTTTGATTTCAATAAGACGCTCTTCTTTGTTTAAAGTTGCAGTGGGATCGGTGATGCCCAATACGTCTAGCTCCCACAGATCTGATACACGAGACTCTCGATTAAACATCGAAATTACAGTCAGCGCCGTATCTTTACGACAGGTCTTCGTCTTACCACTGCGTCCCATCAACGTCCAGCCAAGCTTTGTTTCAATAGCACTAGGTCCCTGGGGTATTTAAAGTATTTTGCCAGTTAGTAATCGCTCTGCAACGTCAGCTCCAATCAACATCGACATAGTTTCACAACCACTGCCATTTATATCCGTTAGGCAGATTCCTTTTCTTTCTATCGATTGGAGCCAATCCCCGAGCGTGACCGTTGGAAAATCGCAGCAGATTGACTTCTCGTGAAAAACGTTGACGATATGTTCATATTTCTTATTCAAACGACTTATAGTAATCTGATACTGCTGGTGAGCTCGTAGTTCCGTACTCTCGCCACCAAATAGTAAATGCACCATCGTTTGTTGCGACATAGCTTTTAACCCAAGCTTCTCTGCAACACTTCCGAGTAAATAACTCTGATGTGACCCCGAGTCTAATGAGGCTCTAATTATGCACTAACCCCTCGGCTCTCTGACTCGGACGCGTAGAGTCTGTAAATATATTACTTGACACGTTGCTGCAATTTAGGGTTAGGTCTTCCGTCTTCTTGTTCACGTCGTCGACTTTACTATCAGCTGTGTTTTTTACTTTTCTGCACATAAGTAAAACGTGTTTACCATCACACCAAGGGCATTTTCCTTTGTATTTACACCACTTGACGCTGTGACCAATTTTAAGACAAGCATAACAGGCTTTTTTTTCTTTTACAAATTCCTATCGAGCACACAGCGTCATCCTTTTTACGTTGCCACAGTTGGTGCTCTCATGGTTATCTTGACAAAAAATGCACGTCGCAATAGTGTATTTGTTCGCATTGATTAGACCAGCTGCGCTAGGAACGCCACCAACAGGAGTTACATTAACCTTTTCTTTTTACCTGTTTTATCGTAGGATGGTCGCTCATTTGCCAAATCGAAGCCCTTTGCCATCGAGATTCGTTCCTTGTTTTTAACTTCTTCTTCAAGAAATTTCATTAAGCTAACGAGATGACTTTAACTGTTAATACCAGCGTTTCCTTTTCTTTGCCACGCACGAAGGACCTTTTCCGGCAATGAGGACTCCACCACCGGAAAAAGCATTGCCGCACACATGTCTTTTTTAACTCCAAGAGACTCAAGCGCACGTAGCTGTGTCTTGAGTTTATCATATATACTGGTCAATGTTTCTTTAGCTTTACCCAAAACCAACTTCAGTAATTTTCGCATATACACTTCCACTAACAAATCACCACGCCCGAATCAACTATTCAGAATGTCGATGGCTTTGTCGTAGTTTTCCGCGGAGAGGGGGTAGCTGTTCACGAGTTTGCCAGCTCTCGAACCGTATACCATTGCCTGCATGAGGTACTGGAACTTTTCCTCTTTGGTAAGAGCAGCGTCCTCGTGTATTTCTTTAAACACACTCCAAAACTTCAGCCAATCCTTGGGATCACCATTTAACTTTTTTAAGTCGATCTTGGGCAACCTTGTCTTTTTGTCTCTTATGATCATTGGATTCCAAGAAGGCGGCGGCAGCGGCGGGTTCGGAGGATAGAGCATCTCGACTCTAACTCGCATAGCCTTCATCTTGCTTTTGTAGTCGTCCACTGCTTCTATCTCTCTTTCTAATTCTTATTCCGTTACTTGATCTTTATCCACCATAGCATCCAGTATAGTTTTGTTTAATACTTCTAATTCCTTGGCCTTTTCTTCTAACATTCTCATGTTGGCACGAACATTCAATTTGTCCGGCTCCGAGTTACTTACTTCAACATTGAGTCCGTTGAGAAGTTTAGTGAATGTGGTACGTTGGCTCGTACGGGTCTTCTTTGCCTTTTCCATTATGGCTGTCTTTGGCTTAAGAAGACAAAAAAACTTTAATTATTAAGAGCCAAGTACATGCGTTCGCCGAAGTGGTCGAACGCATACTAGCGAGCAGAAGCTCTCGGACAAGTATGTCACAATTGACGTTACATAAGGGCGCTACAATCTCAAACTTAATAGCGCAGTTTATTTTAAATTAAGAATTACAAATCAGATTAAACCAACAAAAAACACGTTAAATAAGAAAAATAAAAGAACATTTTCTTCTACAAACTATTGTGGCTCTTGTAAATTGGAACAAAAAAATAGGAGTCCTTCAGATCGATTTTTGCCAGATAGCAATTCGGAGTGACTATTTTTGTGGTGGTTTTCAGACTTTAAAGTTTGAAGTGGGGCGTTTCAACGTATTTATTTAATTTTTTGAGGTTAAGTATAAAACTATATTTTCCGCTCGGCTTTTTCCAAAGAAAATAGGTTGAGATGAATTGTCCCGCAGTTGGTGTGCAGGGAGAGATCTCCCCTTTTTCCGACAAATCGTTTATCATTTTTTCGCATGCTTCACGCTCATGTGTAGAGAAACTCGGTGTTTCAAGGAGAACTTTTTGTGTCGCTTTTTTAAAAAAGGGTATTTTGTACCCTTTAACTGTGCTGATAACGGAGGGATCACTGGTGATTTTCTCCCATGACTGAGCAAATTTTGTTATTCTGCCTAAAACTTTCACCTCTACTTTCTCCTGAATCCTTGTTGATTCGTCGGGTAGCTCGATGACTTTTAGCCCTTCAGGCTTTTCGAGGTAGTCTGGTATCGTCTGGGAGGCCCTCTGAAGTTTAAATTTTTCTGTCTTAGTGGGGCCCTAAATGAGCCTTTGTAGCTGCAGTTGCTTTTGTCCTCTCTGGTGATCTTAGTAACGTCCTTAGAGACTTTTTCCTGTTCCTTTGTGAGCTTGAGTTTTTCCGGAAATTTTTTTCCGAATAGTGAGGAGTCTATTTTGCAGTCCTAAGAGATATCGTTTACGAGAGGTTTCAGCGTTGGCATGATTACAGGTTTACGAGAGAGGAACATTTTATGGTGCAGGTCGCTAAACAGTCTCCCTGCATCGCAGATGCGTGAGAATACTTGCTCTTGCCATTTCTTCGTGTCAGATTCAGTACCTACCATTGCGAGGGAGAGAACTGCGCCTAAGGCACCCAAGCCCATGCCAAGCTGATTTTGCAGTATGACCGGGAAGCTGTCTTTCCTAGTGGAGTACTTGCCAATGGCGATTTTTATTTCAGCGTTCAATGCTGGAGCTTTCAGCGCGATGCAGTTTTCGGGCAGAGGGTACTTTTTGATAAACTCTTGTTTAGCTTCTTTTTGTACGCGTTGCATGCATAGTGTGCTCCATATTTCGGCTACTGATTTATCGATGGGCGGCCCCGTCTCATGGATTTTTGGGGTCTCCCCTAGTAAGTCGAGCAGGTGATTGGGCTTCTTTTCAGCGTCACCTTTGTCCTTCTGTCTTGGAGTGCCCTTGCTGCACGACGATGAACATGACGATGAGCAAGATGATGAGCGTGAAGTCCGCAACGATCGACTTGTGCTGCTGTATGAGGAGTAGCTGCTATAGCTACTTGCACTGCAATGTCGTGGGCCTTCTCTCTCGCTCGAATATTGCTGTTTGTTATTTTCTTGGCTAAAGCTGCTGCTTGCTCGTCTGCGGCCCGTTGACCCTCTTGGAGAGCACACGCTGCCATTTTTGTCCAAGCTGCTGTGGCTATACTCTCGTCTATGGCTTGACGTCCGTCGAGAGGAACACTTCTGTCCGAGTTTCTTGCAGTATATGTTGCTTTTGTCCTTACTGGTTGTAGGGTTTGGAGGTTAATCTAATGCTATCATGTGCCCTATGCGGGTCATGTTTTTCGCTGTAGTGGTTGTGCCGGTGTCCGTGGTGACAACTTTTTCTCGAGCTGTAGCTCGAGTTTTTTCCGCTTTTAAAGTGCTCGTTGGATTGTCTGTGATGGCGTTGATGGGAGACGTCCCGTCACTGATTGCTGCGTGGGCTGGAGCCTTTTCTTTCACGCTTATGGGGTGCGTAGTCGTCCCTTTCTTCAGACTGCATACGCTTGCGGTATCGATGACAAGTGTCATGACCATTCGTCTCTCCAGAGAGATGCTTGCGTGATTTTTAGAGTTAACAAAAAACTTTAATTGAGAGCGCTTGCTTTCACGTGTGGCACCAAACGCACAGAAAAGCGTAATGACAACATGGAGCGGATGAAGCTGCCAGACTGCTACAAGAGACAGTAACACAGCAGCGCCACCCGCAGTGAGCGCTGATAACCTTAAATTCTTAAAATATCCTGTGGTAAGAAGCATCAAACTAACTGGATAAACGATACTACGTGTTTGATCTAGAGGACGAGGCAGAGGAGTACAATATTTTTATTTGTGTGATTCATATAGTTCTTATCATAGTTTACCATTTTTTTAACGTTTATTTTCTAAGTTATCCAATCAATAAATATTTATGTGTGTATGTATGTCTATGAATGTTATAAAAATGCATGTGTGCATGTTCATAAAAGTACTTATTTCTAATAAGAAACCGACTTTTCAGTGTGACGGAGTCACTTTTAGTCGATAGCCGTATTTAAGGTACTTATGTATATTTAAATACACACGCACACACACACACACACACACATCTCCCTGTATTAAAAAAGAATAAACCTTTAGTTTCTGTAAGCAATCCAAGTGACAAAGAAGTTTTGTAATTAAAAGAGGATGTCTGTTAGGAAAGTAAGCAATGCTTTAGAAGCTAGGTTAAGAGAAAGAGGATACCAGAAAATGATTAAACAAATAAAAGATATTCACCAGTTGCAAAAATGCAAACCTTACATGTTTAGCTCACTTATTATTGTCAAAATAATTTAATTACTAAGCAGATGAATGTTGAAACTGCATTTTCCAATGGCAAAGTAGTTCTGAAGTCTATGCGAAACAGCCACAAGGCTATGAGAATGGCTCTAACAAGGTATTAAAATCAAATAAAGCGTTATATCGGTTAAGAAAAAGTCCAAGAGATTGGTATGAATGTTTTGATATTTTTTTGAAAAGTGTAAATTTTAAAATAAGTAAAAAAAGATTGTTAGTTACATATCTTGAATGACTAAAATAGAAATAAAAATTTAGCTTCTTTTTGTAGTTATCCTTTATGTAGTAATAATTATATTGGAATTATTATTATTGTTTTTATTATTTTTATTCTTGTTGTAACAATTTTTTCAAAGTTACTTAACTTCTTTTTAGTAAAAGACAGCTTT